CCAATCGTATACACATCGAATTGTGCTAATTTACTACAAAGTTACGCAAAGCAGCACTACTATCTAAAATATGTACTGCGTGACTCTTAATACGTCCCTGTCGAATGTTACAGCGTTCGATGATCACGTGGTCTTGTTTATGTCCGGTCTATCTCTTATCTGAATATACTGTAGTCGATCACCGAGCGTGTCGAGACGACGTAGAGAGAGACGAGAATATGTGCGGGAAAAAACCAGAATTCATCAGCCCAGCTGATAATGCACAGCGTCACGTAGGCCTGGCTGGTCGTTCACCGTGCGGGCCGGAAGCTCAGGTACTGACAGGGCCGGATTCGGGAGGCGTCAGGTAGGCCTGGCTGGTCGTTCCCCGTGCGGGCCGGAAGCTAAGGTACTGACAGGGCCGGATTTGGGAGCGGCGCCAATAACGCAAAACTGTATGGACGATGTTTTGATACTCGACGATGCCGATTGTATGCCATTATCAGAGGACACATTAAATATTCTGGGTGCCGATCCTGAAAAGGCTAATACGTCTAGTTTTAAACTTCACGGTGCCCTAGCCTCCAGGTGGTCCCATATTTTGGCAAACGGGCTATCCGTCGAAGATATTTCTATCCTTAGCGAAAAACAAAATGTGCCGTCTAATTTCGCTTTATTACGTCCTCCAAAAGTAAATCCCGAAGTGAAAGCTATTCTTTCATCCACACATTTAACTAGGGATTCCACTCACTCCGGGTACCAATTGCACATTGGTAACGGACTAACCACCCTGGGAAAAGCACTCAACGGTATATTGAAAGACGAACCCAGCATCCCTAAAGACATTACACCAGGAACTTGAGGGTAGAAGCAGCAGGTCGAGGTCTCATGCCGATTCGCCCCATTACTTTAGGCGTTCTCGTTCTCGGCTGAGCCGTAGACGTTCAAGGTCCGGGGATGTTCCGACATTCACAATTTTACGAACATATGCACAACATGCACCCCCCCCCCACACAAAATTAGCCCAGTACTCTAACAAATCAGTTAAAGAACTGACTGAAAATACCATACCTGGTGAAATTTTGTTTGGGCCAGATTTAGGTGAACGAGCAAAAAATTTGAAATTTTTGGAAAAGGCAGGACCTTACGTTTGCCTTCTAACCCCTCACGCATTAGCTATCAATCAGCGCGGGCCTTCAATCATTCCGAAAGAAGAGGGGGGCGGGCAGCTCGTCCAAGAATGCAGGACCTTCAAACAGGTATCGCCCGTCTTACCGCAAGAGGGAGGCGAGGCAATACAAGGGCCATTCCTCGAAACAGTTTCCTCAGAACAGACAACAGGAAACGCTGAAGGTAAAACAATTTCCGTTTGCTGGCCGTTTACAGTTTTATTTGGACTCTTGGTCCAAACTAACCTCAAATTTGACAGTCTTATCCTGGATTCAAGGTTATAGGATTCCCTTTAAAGACAACCTTCCATCATGCCACCACTTGGTTAAAAGTAATTTTTTACCTACAGAAACATCGCTAGTAAGATTAGCTATAAACGATTTGTTAAGGTCCGGAGTCATACTCAAATCTGAGTCAAGGCCCGAACAATTTATCTCTCCACGTTTCCTAGCAGATAAATCCAGCGGTGGAAAAAGGTTTACTTTAAATCCAAAACAATTAAATGAATATGTGGAATGTCCGCATTTTAAAATGGAGGACCTACGAACGGCTATTAAAGTGACTCACAAAAACGTGTATATGTGCACAATCGACTTGAAAGATGCAATATTCTAATTAGATGTGACAACACGACAGCTGTTTCATACATCAACAGAATGGGGAGTGTTCAATTCCCAGACCTCTGTTCATTGTCAAAACAAATTTGGCAATGGTGTGAGCAAAGGAGTCCAGGAGTTCGAATTTGGAAACGGAATGGTCATTATGTCAAACCGCCTTCGACCGTTTAACCACCGTTTTCGGAAACCTAGAGATTGATCTTTTTGCTTCCCATACAAATGCTAAATGCAAGTTATATGTCTCCTGGCATAGAGATCCAGGATCTGCATATATTGACGCGTTTACGATTCCCTGGAATAGATTTTATTTTTACGCATTTCCACATTACAACAATATAGCAGTTCGTATAAATTATGGTGGGGTTATTGCTTCAGTAATGACATTTCGCTTTTTAATCCCACAATCAAAGAAGTGGTGTCATTCTTGCAAGAATTGACAAATAATCAAAACCTTACGTTTGGTACTTTTAACTCCCATACATCTGCCCTTTCATTAATTTGCTCAAAGGCTTTAGCCTCTAATCCGATAATTAAACGCTTCAAAAAAGGCATCTCTCGCTTACGGCCTTCACGACCAAAGTATACTGCCACCTGGGACCCTATACCCCTTCTAAATTATTTAGAGAAGTTATCATCACCGCTTAGTCTTCAAACTCTGTCACAGAAAGTAACGACGTTATTAGCCCTGATAACAGGAGAAAAACTCCAGACGATATCTCTTATACGTCTCTCAAATATAATCCATGGTCACAGTGAATCAACTATTAATATATCGGATCCAATTAAAACCAGTAGAGTTGGAAAACCTCAACCCACTCTGCACATCCCGATTTTTCAACAAAACCCCTTTCTTTGCGTGGCCACAATCCTGAAAGAATACATTGATAGAACGGCTTCTTTAAGAGAACCCAATAACGATTCCCTATTTGTGACAGGGAAAAAACCCATGGCAGGGCGTCTAAAGACACTTTAAGCAGATGGGTAAAACATACCCTTGCCTCTGCAGGAGTAGACATAACACTTTTTACGCCTCATTCAGTAAGGCATGCGGCGGCTTCTGAGGCGTTTCCGTAGATAACATATGTAAAACAGTTGGTTGGACGCAACGTTCCACGTTTGCAAGATTTTATAATCGTCCTCTACAACCAAACAATGAGTTTGCAAATGCAATCCTAGAAAAAATTGGTCTGATTAGTTAAGTTCTAATACTCTTGAGAGTTTGTCACATGTTTCCTGTGTTTCAGTTATTTCTCATATCAACGTTATCTTTAGGTTACAATTTGAGAATTTATTTTATGTTTGTTACATAGGAATACTAAATATATGGTTTTGTCGTTTCTGAACACTTTGATTCCACTTTATAACACCATCAGATCGCTCGCAACTGTGTTCTATCTTTACACATCTACATAGTAAATAAACAAAGTGATGTCTTCGGACTGGACCTAAAGTATAATTAATCGATCAAACGAACTTACCTTAAGTGAAGTTCGATCGTAATTATACGAGGGTCCAGTCCGAAGACATCACTCCCACCCCTTTTTCAACCCTCCTAAGTTGCGAGCAAGTACCATTTCTTCTAACAAATGACTCAACACTCAACGTGCAAGACCGGAGAGCGACGAGACGGGAGCGGGGATCTCTTGTCTTTTAACTTGGTGTGCGACTAGTAATCCAGGGCCGGACTACATAGTAAATAAACAAAGTGATGTCTTCGGACTGGACCCTCGTATAATTACGATCGAACTTCACTTAAGGTAAGTTCGTTTGATCGATTAATAATAAACGTCTTTATTTCCAAATAGACTGAGTATATAAAAAATAGCCAAATACGGGCGAAGTTCAGCTGTAGCTGCTCTTCCACTTAACCCGATGATTGCTACATCGTTGCATTAGAAAGAGCGCTCAACGAAAGTATTGGCTTTCAACGTTGATGGGATTTACCCACGTTGACTACGAAATTTTTTGCTGGGTTTGACTAAACGGCTTTGCAAATAAGACAAAGCAGACCATTTGTGTATTTTTGTACATAACCTTACATAATGGCATCGACTGCTCCACCATTCTGGGTTAAATAAATTTTAATGTTCCTCGGTTTTTGGTAGGACAAATATTACATTTAGATGTGGTAGATCAATGACAAATATTTAGTAGCCCATCCATATGATGTGTAATAATTATAACAAAATATCTCCTAATTGTGATATTTTGTGTGCAATCAGTTCGCTAGTGGATCATGCTTCAATATATAGCTTTTTTGTGCTGTGTGGCAAGTTTATGGTTTTTACAAAGAGAGTTGGATATTAAAAAACATCAAATTTAATTTTTAACCGTCAAAAGATTTCAATCATACGGCGAACAATTTATCAGAAACGCGCGTTTATATTATTTTTACTAATAAAATTACAGCTACTGGAAAGCACAACGCAGTGTGTTCTATTGACTACCTCAGAATAAATCTCAGATGTACTATAACAATTTTCTAGGTGTATTTCATATATTTTATCGTCAAACTTCCTAGTCATTGAAAGTATTTAGATATGTGAACAACAGTTCTGAATACGATTTTGACTTTTACCAGATTCATTATTGCCAATGTTACAGACTAATACGAGAATGTGACTTGCTAATCACCTCAGTAGAAAACGTGATTGATGCTTGTGAAATAGGGTGTAGTACCAATTAGACCACTTCCCTGAAAGTTCGCGACTCTGCCCTGTCTGGAAAACGCTAGATCTTTCTCGACTCGTCAATAGGAGAATATAGGCAGATATGGCGGAAGGTAGACTCTCAACGAGCAGCAACCGATGCGTCAATATCGTCCAATCGACATGACTATAAATTGTGGTGTATTTTTTAATTCACCGGTTGAGCAACCAGTGCCACCGGTGGACCAGACATCCGTCCATTTAATTCAACCGGTTGCTGCCGTCACCATACAAAGCTGTCAACAGTGTCAACCGCATCCATCAGTGGTGGAATCAACCGGTGAATCAAAGAATTCACCTTTGGTCATAAATTAGTTGCAAGTGTTGCGATAAATTAGTGTAAGAATAATAAATAAGACTTTCAACAGTAAGATCGATGATTACGTTACAGTACTTTTAGAAAAAATAGAGGTTCATATTTTTTGAATTACCCTCGTATGTAAGGAACTCAAATAAACCAAGCTCTTGCGTATTTCGATGATGAGCAAAAGAAGCTTAGAACTGAAGAAGGCAAACATAATAAAAATGTACAGTTTTCAAATGTTTATTTTAAATAAAGAAAAAAATAACATAAAAAATGTTTCATAAGAATAAATCGTGAAGTACTGGGAACCGTGAATCACTAGATAAAAAAAGTTAATTTTTAGTCACATTTATTTTTCAAATTTAAACATCTAATAATTCACATTTTAACCGTTTTTGCGTTACTGACAACAGATAAACAAATTAATATGTTCGTCGAACTGAAACAAGGTCCTGAATACAAGATAACTCCTTATACTTCCTTTTTCCACTCTAATTAAAGAAAACACATTTCACAAAGACTTTCTCAAGTTTAATTATGCTATAAACATTTCTGTCGGCTATATGACAGGTGTTTGAGATTTAAAACCATTTTTGAAAGTTCTGCTTGTATACCGTGCTGGCCAAAGATGTTCTCCTTTTAGATGTCCATGTGTACAAGAGAGAGAGAGTGGGAAGTGCATTAGAAAGTGTGCACCATACGGGTATCGCCACCACGTTGCGCGGCAACGAAATTGGGGGAGGGCGTGGAGAGCAGCTGTAACTGGCGTTGCTCCCTCACTGTCATTGCCAGGCTACTTGTTGATGACGCTTATATGGCGTATTCTTTCTAACACGCTTCTCTTTCTCTCGTACGCATGGAAATCTGAGGGAAAACGACTTTCGTCAGCACTGTACGTGTAACTTGACATCTGTACAAGTATATATATAAAAAGACACTGGTAGTTTAGAAAAATTCAAATATCGTTCGACGAACAGACTTATTCCAGATCTCTGGAGTAGAATCGAATGACTGGAATGCTGTAAGATGCTTGAACTCAGATTAACATATTTTGTGAGAATATCAACAGGAAAATAAATTAAGTTTTTCGATAATGCTATGAGAATAATGCAAGTCCTTGTGAAATGTGCCTGGATTCCATAATGGGCTAAGAACGAGAAAACTAAAACGGCTATATACCACAGAAGAGTCTGCAAAATACATAACTCCTTAAATATCTTAAACATGTCAAAAATACTAGACTAAAAATTGTAAAACCTACATTACATTAATAGTAAAAGTCGGAACAGAACATAAGGATAGGGAAAATTACGATATTCATATAACCAAACAAAGGGGATACATTCTAGTAGTAAGTGCACAGATTTTTTTAGATCACAAAGTATGAAAAAATCAAAATCTCTCTCCTCTTTCTCTCCATGGGCGAGAACTGTGACTATATACTCTGTATCCCCCATTGTACTATTTTTTTCTGTCCATTTTCCTTTTAGAATCAATTTTTCAACACTACGAACACTTCCTTACCTTCGGATACGAGAAGATAACATAACTTCATTGAGACTATGCAGCCAAATGTACTACCCTTTAGATTTCAAAAGCAGGGCTTTTTTTAACTACGGATCTAGTTAATATACCTTTAAACATTTTTTTTTAATTTCTAAAGTCCTGTGACTGTTGTTTTATATACTTGCTCAAGCATTTTATTTGTCTAGATTCTTGTGCTTGCAGGTTTCTTCGATCGTCTGCAGGTGAATCCATTTTTCAACTATTTTTTGCAATTATTTTTCAATTCATTATTCATCAGTTTGAACATATTCTGAATCACAAACATGTTGATAACCGAGGGCAGAATTATTTACTTTGATAAGAGATCAGAGTAATCTTTTATTTAGATGTTTGTAGCTTGAAGCTGTTATAAGTTGGATTGTCTATTTTTTGTTTGTTTTTGAGATCCAAAAGCAAAACGGACAGATTTCAACACCCAATAGAATTTCTATAATAATAAGTACGCATTTTCATACTTTGTGAATTAACTACTTAACTTGTAGCGCACAGAGAAAAATACAGTTCGACTGTTAAACAGCCCTTCTCGGATCCGCGCTACCCACGGACAAAAAAAATAACAGAATAGAATATATTACAAAAATTTACACAATTTATAAATATGCTTTTATTAATAATTATCAATTAAAAGTTGTCTTGTAAATCAACTATTAAGTTATCCACTTTTTATATAAATAACGGCCCCGGCAGCCTATAAGCAAGTAAAATGTTCAAGGTGTTTTGAAAAATGTTGTAGATCATCAGAATTAGCCGGGATGGATATAAATGGAAAAGCTGAAATGCAAAGTGTGGCTGGATCCTTCACTTTGAAGTCATCATGGTGACAAACTCTGAAACAAAACACACAAGATTAGTTACACATAAGTTGGAAGACACATTGCAATATTTGTTCAAAGTCCAAGTGATGTTACATTAGAAAAACTAACAGTTCCGATCTTATAGTGCTTTTCAAAAAGGTCTTCCTCCCAACTTATTTTCTGAACGGGTCAAATTAGTAAGCTGAAATTTTCGAGATGGGAGTTTGGCGCCATATTAGAACGTTTTCAAGTTTTCAAATGGAATGGGGGTCAGGTATTACTTAATTTTGATGATTCTTAAAGGTAATTCACAACCCTAGAATATAAAATGACTTTTTCGAAATTACAGACGATATAACAATCTTCTCTCAGAACGGTCGTAATAAAATATAGACCAGTCCATTAAAAATATTGTTAAAATCAACACATTGCCCAAATTTCTTGAACATTTAGAGATACCTTCAGAGAGAATAAGATTGAGATAACGTTTTGATGATCAGTTGCCAGCTCACCATTTTAAACGAAAAATGTATACTCTAGGGGTATTGGGCTATAAAAAGTACGGTAAAATATAGTATTTAAGAATCAATTTCATCACCCCGAATTTCAGCTTGCTAACATGACCTGATAGAAAATAAGTGGGCGAGGTATATTTTCTAAAATCACTCTATGTAGTTAACGTTAAGCGATGTCCAAAAACTAGTTACTCATAAGCCTAGATCCCAAAATACCCCGATAAACCCATACGTCAAAGCAGTTTATATCAAAGTTTGTTAATAGGAAAAGATGTTGAACTAGAGCTGCCTCTCGGCAGCCTACCGTAAGTGTTTTTCACTACAGCTCGAGCATAGTTTTTATTGATATCTTAACCCAACAAATCTGTAACATAAGTACGTTTATTCTGATAATGCTACCACAGTTTTTCCGACAGATGTTAACCAATATAAAACCTTAATCATGAAAAATAATGTGTGTTTAGAGGATTTTTTTAAACAAAAATAAAAACTATCAACTATGACTGGTTAACTTTTCATAACAATCTGGGGTTTGAATAACATTTTTTTCAAATGTTGGTCATCATTAAGGGCAATATATATGTATCAACTAAAGTTGATTTTATATCACTTTCTTTAATAACACCCAAAATGATTTATTCGTTATATCATTAATTGTACATAACCCTCTTTATAAATAAAAAAATTGAGATTCCTATTCAAAATTGAGTAATGAAATAAGTTTGTCATGTATAACTATGGTTAAATTGCTAACATTTGAAGCAAACGTTTGAGTCGCCAGCAGTGTTCAGCCAATTTGTGTATTTCAATGTTTGTAGAATGCGATTACAAAAATGTCTATCATTGTTATGTCATTCATTACAATTTGACAGCTCTTTATTGTGCATTAAAAATGTGAAATCATCACAAATATAAATATTGCATGCAAAAAATGACAGTCTCTTAAAAAGGCCAAATATTTTCAATTCTTTGGATCACAAAAAAATATAATTTTTCCCGAGGTTGTACGGGTGACCTGAATACCTATATATAAAAAAGAGCCATATGTAGGCCTGGTTCATAGTAATCGCTTTCTAAAAATGTGGCTGTGTTATATTATAAATAGAACATATTAGAATGCATTTAAATTTCAAGTGACATAAAAAGCGTATAGTGTATTAATGTGAATCTAAAATGCAGTTTGTAGTATTGTGATTGCCAAACCATACAGTAGAGGCGAGGCACCAACATGTCATACCTACTACGAATACAAAGTAGAAAATAAAATAGAAACTGTACCAGTATAATGCGTTCACTTTCTAAATTGGCATTCATTTAAGATTTTTTGATATCCGGCCAATTTGATATTTCATGGTCTGGCTTCATCGAGCAACAACACGATGTCCTAATGGGTAATATATGAAGAGAGTGAACGCATTATAATATTCTGTTGATTACACAAACCTTACGCTTTTTGATATACTGGTAGACGATTACAACGAAAGCATAATTTTTTATATGAATGTTGATATAAAACAGATATTTGTGCAAAATACCGGAAACATCCATAATATACAGAGAAAGTCGAATCTATTTTACTACCTAAAAGGTACAGGCTTGCGTATGAAGGAAATAGATGGATAGTGAACTATAAAACGCGATATGATGCACGAGGGTAATACTGAAATCATGGTCATTTTTAAGCTAATCATCATTCCCGTAGATGCATTTCTGTAAATACTGTAGCTATTTTTGTATGCCGTTGTAATACCAACTGACCGTCATCACCACGGCCTTCGCCGCCGTCAAAACTAGATCGCCCTGTCAAATGTTCTTTCGACTTGGGAAACAGGCGGTACTCACCGAGTTCCTAACTCGGAATATAGGGTGAGTGGATCTCTTAGCCAACACATTGATTAACGTATTCTACTTGAATATAGCCAACTTAGTGCTATATCCTCGCATTCCAAGAAATTATCAGAGAGAAAATGAGATATTGTAGCGCCATCTATGAGAATTTGACACAGTCATTTGTCTATTTACTATATAGGGTGTACAGTTTTGGGTGGATCAACGGAAGTCAGATGATAGAATACCTGTCGACTGAATCCCCTTATAAGTGATCAGATATTTTATAGTCCAGAAGATATTTGCAATTTTATGAACTTTCTAGCGCAAATACAACTAAACTATTAGGTCTAGGGCTGCGTTTTTTTTTCTGGTATTGGCTAAATGGTTGGTGCTGCCAAGATACCCCGAGGACATCAAAAATTATTTTCAATCGAGTTATTAAACATTGAGTATACTCATTTTTATGGCTTTTTAGACATTAAATGGTCAGCTTTGCAGGAAAGTTAGTGGAAGCCCTTTTAGTATACAAAAAAAAAACGAAAAAATAGTCCGACAATTAATTGCAATTTATTTAAAAAAAAATTAAGGCAAATTTTATTTGGGTTACCGTGCGGTTATATTCAATGTTTGAAAGCTCGGTTAAAAACTAGAATTTTAGCGATTTCAACCGTCTTCTGCAGGCCAAAATTGTCGATTTTCTGGTTTTAGCACACTGTACGACCAGAAGATTCGACAGGTGTCAAGAAACAACGCTTAGGCAACCAGGTTTACGGGGCTGTATGTGGATATGTGGACGATTGCGGCCTCACGGAGGAGCTTCAGTTCAAGTTTACGACGAAGGAGCTGGAAAGCTTCTCCATTGGTGCAAATCAAAATATAAAGGCGCGACGACGGTGGAAAGGACATTTAACGGGCAGCGACGGACGCGTCAACATAATTCAGTCGATACTTGCAAGTGTTATAAATTAGATAACGTATACTTTGAACAATAAGGACAGTGTTTTTTTTACTGTAACAGTACATTATCTACTAAAAACATTCTGAACTGGTAGCAACAGATGTCAGTCAGTATATTGAGATTGTTATAAAACGTGTATATCTCATAGCTACATCCACAGTTTGATATCGACAGTTTACATGAAGTATTAAGAAATGAGATATTCGCCTTCATAAAAAATGAAAAAAAAGCAAAAACTAACAATATGAATCTGATGAATGCCAGCGTTCTTGCGTAAAATAGCACGTTTGCGAACTAGTTCGTTTTATGGAACTAGTTCACTGGAATGATATAGAATGCACCATCACTAGCTTAAGCTCTTGCTCAACATTCCTCTTTCGTTCGGAATTCCACGTCTTATGTAGTTTTAATGTTGTACAAGTATATCCACTACCACCTGCTGTTTTCTAAATTGAAAGACGACGAAGTGGAAGTGTGGTTCAGTGCTTCATCGAGAACATCTCGGCGAGTTGGTATGACATTGGCATACAAAAACTGTCACAGTGTTTACAAAAATGCATCGATCGGAATAGCGATTATGTAAAAAAATATACAGATGTTTAAGCTTTGTAATTATTGGAAATAAATGGTTTTCATTCTTGAAAAAATTCAAAATGTACTTTGGGTATTAACTTCGTATTTGAAAACGTCCAGGCAAACAGATCTGACTCACTCTGTATAGCAAAAGAAAAAAAAAACAAATACGATTGTCAACCACTCATGCGACAATTACACTGTGCGTACAAAGTTTGAGAAAGTCTTTTTTCCTGGAAAATAGAATACTCAAAAAAGGTTACCAATACTGCGAAAATTGTTGAAAGCCTTCTAAAGAAACGGTCACACATCGCCAGTTAAACGGTCGTTCTTCTGCAACACCCCTAAGTTCAAAGAACATTTGATAAAGACGATATATGATGTTTAAATTTCATCACGCGTTCGGTATCAACAGTTCTGAAGACGATCCTCAGTTTGATTCGATTCATTATTGCCAACAGCACATGCTTTAATATAAAGAATGTCACTTGCTGCTCAGCTGTATCGTAAAAAATACTGTACGGGCTTTTACTTGCTTAAACTTAGGTATTATTTCCACTTAAGCAGCCATTCACTTCGGCTGGTCGGAGTCCAGATCACCGAGGACTTGATTTGGCACGAACACATCTCGTGTTGGTTTCCAACAGATCCTCACTCTGTACAAGGTCCAGATAAGACCTAGTCTCGAATACTGCTCAGATGTTTGGGGTACTGCCGCCCTGACTACGACACATTGTCCATATTCGATGCTGTTCAGAGGAGTACTGTCCATCTGATTGACGACACTTTTCTTGGGACCCTTTCGCACCGACGTTCGTCGGCGATCTGGCTCTCTTCTACCGCTATGTTAACGGACTTTGCTCTTCAGAGATCTCTTACAAGATGCCGCCGCGCGTTGATCCTGCCAGATGGATCCGCCAAGCCTCGGCCTCCCGTCCCAACTCTGTTGAACTTCGTACATCGTAAACTGGTCGGTACGACCGCTCCTTTGTTCCTAGGGTATCGAGATTGTGGAACAATCTCCCTTAAGATCCTTTTCCAGTTCTACGTTCAGTCACGGCGCCCCGGCATTCAGTTTCTGCCTACGCTGCTGCTTCAGTATAAAAAAACCGAAATTGGGCTATTGTGACACAAATCTTGACAAACGCCATCGACAAACCATTATTGGACCTTTTATCATTTATCATATCGCCTATTTTGCGCATCGAAATGACCCTTCTCAAAAATGTAACGCACAGAGAGCAGACAGGCAAATCGAAAGTTCGCAAGATATTGAAAGGCACGCGAACTTTCCATTTTCTCTGTGTACATCAAAACCAACAAAAAGTGTATTTTACAATTATTAAAAGAGCACATTCCCGAATAATAAGCAAGACTACTACAAAACTGACCAGCTCGAAGAAGCGTGCGTCGGGTGGTACCGATTGAAAACTATGAGCGATAGAGCTCGGAAATCTGCAAACAAGGAAAACACAACAACCAGTCATACACGCTTCTCACTGCTCACTGCAGCCGTACGCATTGCATCCACACCTACAGGACGTTTACCAAAATAGACAAGGCGACAAAAATTTGTGGAACAATTTTTTCAAAAAGTTATAAAAAATGGTATTTCCGGATATTTTTTTAGATTTTTCAATTATTCTTAACAGAATTAGGTTCTCAAAAACTTTTCACAAAGGTTGATCCGTTTCGAGGTATAAGCGTCTAGCTGTTCCATAGCCACCTCGGTTTTTTAGCATTGTTTCAATAACCAAAATTTTAAAATTAACGTTGATTAAACCAAATTGTACGTCTACAAAAATCCCCACCTAGTCTCTAGTTAATTTCAAGCAAACTCGTCAGTACCCCTCAAATCCTTAATACGTTTCTGTCGCAGAATTTGTTCTTAACTGAAATTTATTGGCTATAAACCATATTCTAGGTTTTTAGTCAAAACACGAAGGACTTTCGTACACACGTGTAGTCCAGCCCTGTCACAAAATCCATTTTTAGCTGCCTATAAGCTATCCTGTCAAATTTCATATCCACAAGTTAAACAGTTTTCGAGATTTGGTGACTAATGAGTACAGATCTTTTCGCTTTTATACATCTGCCCTTAGACTCCCCCCCCCCCATATTATTATTTGATCCGCAAGCAATCGTGAGAAGCCTTGCAGATGTGGACGCAAAAAATAAAACAAAAAATAATAACGAAGATAGGAAAAATAGAAAAATAGGTAAGAGGCTCTACTAAAGTATGATTGGTTTAGAATGAGACACATAAAAATATTTTACACCAATTTATCAATCGGCGCATTACCGCTTAAGATGCGTTTACACGTTACAAGCAATAGCCAGTAACATGTTGCGCTTGCAACTTATTATATTGTAACCGCAACTTTAGCTGTCTAGATAACTGGCAGCTATGTCAAGTATACCGAAGATTTCTCCTTTGCTACTAAACTGAATCTTGTAATATTCCGCGTAGTGCTCTAAGGCCCCATTTTACTAAGCGCAAAAAGCGCGTGGGTCTCAAACTAGACAATTATTATACGGTTTGTGTAAGATGGGTCCCTAATTCCCGTATTAAATCAAGGAATATGTCATAAATCATTTGGTGTAGCTACAAAAGCATATTTTCATATGTGTCCGGACACTAAATTAGTGGCCATGGTCATAAAATGCACCTATGAAAAAGCATTTGCGCGATACTCGAAGCACGGACACAAATCTGGTACGGTATCTATATTGACATGACAACAATTAAATGAGCATTTTATTGAAAATAACAGTGTCTCACTGTTGCTGTACAAAATTCTGCTTGATCAATTCTTCGAGGACATGAATAAAATTACAGAATGCTTATTCTTCAACAAGCATCAAGTGAATATTCCATTTACTTGACTACCGTGCGCAAAAACCCAGCCCTGCTACTAGGGAGCTCTCACGCCCTTTACTGGGCAGTAGGGCGACTATGTCTAGCCTTCCAACACGATACTCCAGCCCACTAGAGTGCGCGACATTTCCCTGTTAACAGTAGAAGGGCTGGCTTGAGGAAAATGGTTTTTCGCAAGGTAGTCAAGTAAATTGATGATTTACTAATGTTTTGTTGAATACGCATTCTGTAGTTTTATTTACTTCTTAAATAATTTAGTAAGCAAAATTTTGTACAGCAACAGTGAGACACTATTATATTCAATAAAATGCTCATTAATGGCGCCATGTCAATCTATTGTATTAGGTTTGTCCCATGTCTGGAGTAGGTTACAAATCCTTCTTTTTGATTGGTGGAAATTGCGTCAACTTTTGTGTCCGGACACACATGAAAAATAGGTTTTTGTAGCTGAATCATCTGATATGTGAAATATTTCTAGATTTAATATGGTTACTAGATACAAATCTTATAATCTCTATCTAGTTTGAGAGACATTTTACAAGAAATTGGACAATTCATTAGATCTATTACTTCAAAGACACCTTCTCACTGGTCCAATTTGTGCCAAAGGCATACAAAATTCCCGCCGGTAAATAGTAAAATCGGGCTTAACACTCAAATAGTTATGAGGCAACTTACAGGTCTTGAGAAATAATTTGTTTTCATAGGTTTATAAATCACACTTTTCACGAGTGCTCTCCGCTTTATGATAACGGAAGTGATTCTCAAGAACTGTAAGTTGTCACATAACTGTTTAACTTTTAGGGCCCCGCGCGGAACCTTTCAGGATTTAGTCTAGCAACAAAAAAACAAATATCTGCTTGAAATTTAAATTTTTTCTCCAAATCGTCGGTTTATTTGACATGATTTGCCCTCCAATGTCAATGTTCACATTAATTCAAATAACCTCTGACATAAAGAACTTTACAGATGTCATCCCTTGAATGCGCCCATTGCCTTACAAATTATACGACACCAAATTATGACAGTTTATATCGTGAAAATAGGTATCTTGTAATACTAAGTATTTACCACATAGGTATTCCAATCGCAGGTTAACCATAATATAACTGACAACTGAAAGTTAACCAACGCTTTTCTCTATGTCAGGTTATTCGAAAAAGTTTAACTAGACGACACCTGGATTGTCTAGGATGTTGTAATTAAACCGCAAATGCCTTTCGGCTTGACAGTGAGATAAGTTGTCATAAATTATATGAGATACAAACACCCAACGTTAAAAATGCACAGAATACGATAGTTTAGATGCAGAAACAGAGTTGCTGCTTCAACAAGTATTGGTTAGTTAACCAGGATTATCAAACGAATTTACTCGCAACTGACAGTCAACTTGCAAGTTAAAGCCACCCAATTTGAGAGTTAACCTGCGATTGAATAACATGGCTTTCAAGTAATCGACCATCTGTTAATTTCCGCAAAAATGTAAATATTGGCATAACAGAAGTAACCGAAAATGCCACTATATTTTTCTGATTTCCTACATTTCGCATAATTCTATCTAAAGGCAAATAAAGAGTACATTTATAAACAATAATGAAAACAGCGTTTTTAAATATAACACTTTGGCCTATGCCGCGAGTATATTCCCCGAAAGAAAAATCACTACAATCATTTGTTAGTAATAATGGAATTGGCAGTGGTTCAAATAATTTTACGGTGACCCGAAATCACACTTGGAAGTGTTGTGCTTCAAGTGAACAGTTTGTATTGTCACCTTTTTATTTAAATTACCATCATTACAAAAGGCTCCGGCGGAATGTCTAAATTGATCACCATTATTTTCGCTGTTACACGCCTCCAATGGAATTCCTAAGAAATGTATGCGATACAACTTAAGAAATGTACAAAAGTTGGTGTACCGCTTAAAACAAATTAGTAATATATTTTTCGTTCGTCGGCCTCAGACGGCCAACCATAGATACATAGATGTTTTGTTCTACGAGGGGTACTAAAAAATCTACCTAGTCGCAATACAAAAGGCGTATGATTTTTTTTATAATTTTATTCAATATAATCTCCCCTACATCAATGCACTTGCCCTATTTCTCATTCAGTAAGCTTATACCTTTATTTCTTTGTTTGTTTAAGTTTTATTTAGCATGATTGCTGTAATTACATCCTTTTAAAAAACTACACAAAAATTACATAATATAAAATATTCAGAAAAACTAAATTTGCATCTCTAAGAATTTTCACTGTCCATGAAATATTCCATCAATTTCCACTTAAACATCTTTAAATTAGAAGTAGACTTCATATATTTTTTCAGTTTATTAAATTCAAGTTAGCCTTTTTGAAATATTGATTTGCTAGTTATATTACTATTGCAATTTTGTAAATGGAAAACTGAATTCCCTGTTGTATGATAATAAATGTAATGATTATTCATTTCTATGTAATGTTCTAAATGTTGTGACAAAATGATTTTTTATTTTAAATATGAAAATAAGAAGTAAATATGATACGAATAATCCAATAACTGCAAATCTTGTAACATATAACTTATTTTGATTCAATATTATTCTCTTAGCTTTATTTTGTAGGACTTGTAAGTTTGAGAATACAGCTTCACTGGCAGTGAACAGGATAGTTAAACAATATAGTAAATGCGGTAGAATAATTTTATTATAAACTTTTTTATCAGAAGCCCTATATTTTTTTGACAATGTTTTGAATAACGTGTTCATAGAGATCCTCAAACTTTTAGTTTACTATCAATATATATATATACAGGGTGACTTCGAAGTTGAGTCATTTATTTTAACAGTGAGTAGATCTGATCAAAAGAAATGTTTTTTTCCTTTACCATTTTTCTGGTAAAATTAAAGTAACAAAGTTATAGCCCTTTGGAAGTTTGAGTACCGCCCTGTCTCAATAATAATATGTGCTCGTGTTTGGCGACAACGGATATAATCCGCCTTATCGGTTCATCGCATCGGAAACAAAAAAGCGAAAGAATTTGGAACGATGTTTTTACAATTATTTCATTCAGTTGTATACAGTCAGTGTCAGTCGGCAGTGAATAGTGGTGTCTGTTGCGTGGCTCAAACGAAATAAAAAATGGCACATGTTTATGCGGATCGGTTTCCCAATCGATTGCAACCAACCCAAAATCAACTCAAATTTAGCAAGTAAGGTTGGAACACGTGCCACTACTTTATGGTTTTGTATTTCAATTGTTTTTTTCATAGCTATCTTTTCTAGTGTCCCTGGTATTTGGCAACTCAATGACGAGTAGAACCTATCACGATAATCGACGGCATTTAGCAGTCACAGTGGTAACCCGGGTGTCAAATACGAACTGGCATAAAGTTCCAACATACAGCTTGCTGTTTTTACTCTCGCAGTGGTGATACTGGTAATAGATGGCACTTTGTGATGTCTTATTTCGATGGACACTATAACCTGGATAGAGGATAGTTGTCCAGCTTTCGTTCGTTATCCCTCCTGAGACCAAGTCTGTACCATGATGATGAGTTGCCAAACAGCACAAAACAGCTGTTCATGGTTGACCGTTTGTGGTCGGACGAACGGAGGCTATATTACAAGCTAGGCTAGAGCATATTCATTCTAGGACACACTTTATTACCTGCAGAATGTGCTGCCGTTAGAATATGACAACACATTCCGTGGTATATTTACATTATGCCAAATAATTACTAAACACTACAATAACACTTTCAATGACAAGGCGTTGTAAATTGTGAAATAACCTTAATCTATTATAGCCCGAAGGGTATTTTAGATTAGTTTATTTTATTTTAGCTTAGTTTATTTTTTATTTTGTTTGTTAGGCCAAAACTGGTCAGCTATTGATTTTCACAGACTGTACTTGTCATGCCCCATCTGTCATAACAGAACTGATTCAATACTTGATTAAGGAAATATGATGTCACGATATACAATTAATAAACGTGTAAAAGCTTTGTCAATGTTTTTTGTTGAGTTTGGAGAAAATAAATTTTGGACTGGTTGTGATAGAAATGGATTTAAACCATTGTTGATTACATAATTTTTGGCGATTCATAATGCCGTTTACAAAATTTAATACCAACAGAAACGCTGCAAATATATACAGCAAAGTCTATTTTCTGATAACGCAACACCGTTGTAAGTGTACCAGATAAAATATTTGTTAATTGCTATCACTGCGAAATGTATATATGTGGCGATAAAAACATATCATACACAACGAATAAACAATTAATATGACGTGATGACGTCCTGTACCTATAAAAAATAAAACGATTGAACCATAAAAATGGAAAAAGTAAAGTCAAGCTAGGTGATTATATTTTCACCTAATGTTATATAACCCGAGGTTGGTAACGGGGTAAGGCATTCAAGTGTTTTCATTAATTTTTTTATATTTCTTATGAATGTACAAATCTCAAGAATAATGTACAAAATGTCAAATCGATCGGAGCAAAACTGACCAACTTGATGATATTTAAAAGTGTTCTTTACTGCAAATTGAAGGAAATGATTTAGGGATAGTAAACAACAACATGAGAGAAAGACAAAAAGGGCGCCGGCGGCATTCGAACCCACATCTCCTCCATTCCGTGGAGGCCACCTAACCAATTAGTCTACAGCACAACCTGGCAACCAGGATCGTCTGTTAGAGGCAAATTCAAATTCAATCCTACCCACTCCACTGTTCCTTTGATCCTGCTTGTCGCCATGGCCAGATGGGGCCTCAAGCAGCTTGAAAGAATAAAGGAACAGTGGCGTGGATAGGATTGAATTTGCTGCTAAGATTCCGTCCTGAAAGTTGGTTGAAAGCTGGTGCTGTAGACTAATTGGTTAGGTCGAAATAGAGGATATCCGAGTTCGAATCAAACCAGTGCCCATTTTTTCTTCCTTCAAGTTGTTGTTTGCTAAACATACTCGCTGTTGCGGATACGATCATCCAAAAAATCGTATACATGATCTATGGTATTTCAAACTTTTTGACGTTATTTATGTAGACAGAAACAACATAGAAGTGTTGATTAACAAAGTTCTAAAGCTCCCTTAATCTTGAAAAAGAGGATGTAAAATCACAGAAAAATGGCCTGGTGTTCTCTTTCTAATATTCATCAAGAGGTCCGATCAACAGTGTTAAAGAAATAAGTTTAGTGTTGGACTATAAAAAGGGCCAAAGGTAGCCCAGTTGCAGGTCTTCGATCTATAACCATTGTGAAGAACTTTTAGATTGATACATTGTTTTCTCTGAAACCCGATATCATCCAATTATCGCTCTATAGGAGGGAAAAATTTATATAGAAGCTCTTTTAATAGCGTTTTCGAATATTGCAACCCTAAATGAGCTTAAAGCCTACAAGCCATCGGGGCGCGACTAAAAATAGTAATATTAGATTACTCAGTATGTCGAAGTAAGCATAAGGTTTCCAGTCAACCTCAATGAAATTACACAAGTACAGCACACGATACGATACAATTATTGGGTTTGAGTGCTTGTTAAATGAACAAAAAAAGACTATCGATAAACAGCTAAAAATAGCGGAACGGACCTGTTGATTCGATTTTTTCCAGGAAATTACCGTTTTATGTAAAGTACGTTATTCGATTCGGTTACATATTTAGAAAAATATATTAGGAATCTCAGGTGAATTAGATAGTCAAAATAATCGAGTTTTTTTTAAATGCATCAAGCTATGACCAAAGAGTAGTTATATTAAGATAAGACACTTCCAGGAATGCCTTTATAATCCGCCGGTCGGCCTCATTGACCTTGGGAGTTATCTGCATTATAGTAGGGAAGAGGCAGGGTTATTAAGTAAAAAAACTATAAACAAACAAAAAAAAAAACACAAAATGTCAAATTGCTGATTATATAGCTCTTAGGCCCGTATCGTCAGTCGTCCCTACAATTGTAGGGCGCGTTTATGGCCTGCTTGATTGTCATACTGCTTTCTCTCCTTCAAAAATTTCTAGATTACACTTGTCCCGTGTCAGCGTCAGCGCTCTCCTATTGTGAAGATATGTTTTCTTTTTAAATTGTAGGACATTTCAGGCTGATAAAACATGATATAACTCAAAAGCAAGCACAATTTGATGCAAATAGATGTTTGTGACATAACCTCAAAATAGAGTTCTGACACGGAGAAGTAGAAAACTATGACAATCAAGGAGGCCATAAAGGCGCCCTACAATTGTAGAGACGACTGACGATACGGGCCTTAGAGTGCAAATAATTCATTCCGCCCTTTATCGCTATGAGCGCGGTGAGCGTCACCCATCGATAGCGTCACTTTATGGAGAAACGACTCAACGACATGCTCAAGTCAGTTTGTCAGCATGCGTTGTTGATTGCAGAACGCCGAGATAGTCTGTAGAGTATATCTTTGAGAACAAAATTGGTTTAGTACAATAGTGGCAAAATTGCATTTGGATGACTGTGTGTATTTGTGTTGTCCTTTCCGAAGAGAGGTTATGTTCAAAGTTATATTCGTATGCCACAAAAAAATTATACGTCAAAAAAAAAACGACGATTTCACATTTCAAGATACGCAGTACCCCTGCCGATAGTAAATTTGTTACGTCATCGCGTACTAATATGATACGATAAAAACTAGTTACATCTTACTAGACACGTTTGCCGTTCAGCATCAAAATACGTGAGATTTGACTTGTTTTTAACATTCCATTCCAGCGACTGAGGTGGTGTTGCCAAGCTGTCATAAAATATTTATAAAGCGCTGCATTTATAGTGAGCAGAATGAAGTTCAGCTCTGTTCATCATGTTTTGTATGTTAACTCGCGACCAACAATTTGAGGTAAGAAAACTTTTGAATTTCAAGCTGAGGAACTTTTATTACAAAACCAAGCCGTGAGGTATTCCGCGTATGGCCCTAAGAATTAAATAGCTAAGTAATAACTTGCAGGTTTTGAGAACAGCTTCTCTCTGAACGAAAAACATGTTTCGTAGGTTGCAAATGGATGATAAATATCCCAAGCATGAATAAACGCTCAAACAATTTAACAAAAAAATGCGTTCACAAGAGATGGTCAATTAAATCATCCAAAAATAATTATCTATCTGGAAACAACGCATCTTTTTCCGAATAAATGAAAAAACCGTATTTAAACTTGATCGGCTGTTTTGTGGACGCCATGTTTCTGGAGTTATCTCTTATCTCTCTCTAATTTTATTGGCCTTGTTCAAATGTCTTCTCTTTATATAACTACTCTTTGCTATGACTATGGTTTAAAGATTTACAATCTTATTTTCCACGTTTTAACCTTTAATTGTTTTATGAGGTACATTCAATATTAAACGAACTTCATTTTTTATGGGTAATCGATAATTCTATCAAGATATCAAGGTCATAAGATAACGAAAGTAAGTGGTACAATGTGACATCTAAAATTTATCCTGCGGTTGCCTCTCTGATAAATCCTAATGTTTTACTGGCCTCCAAATGAAACCACATTAGTCCAGGCAATATCTTCGCATCTTATGGGCAAAGTATTCTGATTAGGATTTTTTGCATAATTTTATTCGAAATGGGCACCTTTTAACGAATATGCATGTTGCAAGTAACAAATTTACGTTAAAAATTGTTTTAAACAAATTCCAAAAATAATATTTTTCGCTCCGGTCAAAGTGCTTTTGTTTTTTTTTTTTGGAATATTCTGAACAAGAAAGGTACTTTATCTCTAAAGTTGTTAGTTTCCCAGATACAAGCGATACAATATTTGAAAAAGTGAGAAGTGTTTTCGACCCCGAAAAACAATATGAAATGTTAGTAACCGTTCAATATGACATATATGGATTCATTTCGAGGCAGCAACACATGAAGGTTTGCTTGGTCTCAGTTGTAATTATGGCATAAATGTCTGTATAAGTAGTATAATTATTAAAATACTGCTAAGGGAATTCATAATAATTGATCCTTGCGGCCTTTACGACCTCATTGATTTTCTTGGTCTTTTCTCTCCTTCTGAAAGGATGGGGAAATTCTAGATTTCTACTGTTCCGTGTCAGCTTCAGCGCTCTCCTATTGTGAGGCTATGTTTTCTTTTTGAATTGTAGGAAATTTCAAGCTGATATAACAGATGACATAAATCAAAAACATGAACAATTTGATGCAAACAGATATTTGTAACAGACCCTCAAAATAGAGCGCTGAGACGGAACACTAGAAAACTATGAAAATCAAGGTTGCCATAAAGGGGTCCTACAATTATAGGAACGACTGACGGGTGCCTAATTGGGACCTACAGAATCTAAGCAGTGGGTTCATAAAGGTTCTGAACCATTTACTCGAAAATTGATGGCAACAGTTTGGTTGGGATATCAGGGGCATCGTTCTTAAAAATAATATCAAAAAAGCGTACGTCTTTTGTTTCATGTCTAGGTAGATTCCGTTTCTAGCAACCCTCGTACTATGAAAAGAGTTAAGATTGCTTACTTCTGCTCCTGTCTCAAAAATGGCGATCTTCAATCGCTTTTTGGCGCTTATCAAGTGCATATTTTAATTGGGTGCCTGCAGGTGGAATGCGTTAAGCCTGCAGATACTCAAAATAGGCATTATTATATAAGATTAACCTTGAGTCTTGGTATTGTACCAGAACGATCCGGTTATTATTTGATACGCTTTTATACGCATGCGCTGAATAGTCATGATTTCCGAATTGTTGCTGGGCTTGAAGATGGTAGGAATTATTTTGGGATCGTTTTTGAAACTAGAAAGAGACATATAGCCCATTTGTCACTACTCAAATCAATGAAGTCGGATAATATCTATAAATTATCTTTACATAGAAAATTCACAGGCTATCAATTAGAGCACGGTTACAGTTTGGTTTGGTTGGAGGTTAGAGGCAATAAGTTGGCAGCAGTTCTACTGCGCATGTTAGTGCATTTAATTCCCTTTTTAATGCAGAACAGTCCCGCTATAATACCGAACACTGCTGGAAGAGTATTTACTAAATTCTCCGAAAGGTTGGAACAAAAATATAGTAGTAAACATTGAAGATCCATCTATGAGTCACTAGCAGAACCAAACACCTTCTCAAATAAGGTTTCTAAATTCATTTTTATGTTCTGTTATTGTCTTGTGTCAAGTTTAAATGGAAAGATGGGAGTGCAGCTAAATACGAAAGGGAAAGCTCGCTAGGGTGGAAGTACCTTAGCGCTACCTCGTCGCTTTCAAATAACGACACCACTTAGGTACTGACCTTCGTAATTGACCTGTCCATCCCCGTCGATGTCCGCCTCCCTGATCATCTCGTCGACCTCTTCGTCTGTCAGCTTCTCACCTAAATTGGTCATAACGTGACGCAGCTCGGCCGCGCTGATGAAACCGTTGCCGTCTTTGTCGAATACGCGGAACGCTTCGCGGATCTCCTCCTCGCTGTCCGTGTCTTTCATCTTGCGCGCCATCATCGTCAGGAATTCGGGAAAGTCAATCGTTCCATTACCTGAAGTCACACAAAAAGCCGTTTGTTAGACATTGTTCATCTATGTTTACTATCATCAAAGAATAGAAAGTTACGAGTAGAAAAGCCAATAAGTCGAAAAAACATTCTGCCCCGGTGGCTGAGATGATTCTTGCCATTTGGATGCGATCACCCATTCATTATCTGCTGTGATAGTCCAGGAAGTATCTTCACATCTGCTCGGAAAAATATTCTGATTAGGTTTTTGCACAGCCTTAATAAAAAAGGAGAACAACTATTGACGCCATTTTAGGACTGGCAAAATGCAGATTCATTAAAAGGGGTCTTTTCTGAATGATATATGAGGAAAAAACAAAGTATTCATTCTTCTTAGGTACTTCCTGTACTATAACTACCCAGGTAGTCGATGGCCGGCATCCGATCCCGTCAAACGTGGGTCACTTGGCTGTTGGCAAGTATTTTTACTCCAGCATATTTTCCATACAGGAGCTCAGGTCGAGGTATAATTGACGAATGAGATCCATCCAAAATTTATCTATGATTTATGAGTGTACCAGTGACAAAAACGCGATATCACAAAAATGTGATGTGTAGTTTTACTTCTAAAATATCGAAAATTTACAAAATAACCCATGATCAATTTGGAGGCTTGGTAGTGCCTTTTCGGAGCTTCCTTGAATATGTTACGGAATTGAGATAGCTTGTGAAGACAAGGTAGTTAAACAACTGAAAGCTGAAGTCTTGCGCGTCAGTTTCACTCACCCTTGTGAACAGTTTTCTGTTGGTCATTTTCTTTCACTTTATACTCAAGTACGCACTATTAGGGCAAATAAGCTGATCCTAAAATGAGAACATCAACTCAACTATAGATTTATCGAAATAAGATAGAAAGAAATGCCACATGTTACCAGAATCGACCACTGCGAATTGTTTTTTTATTTTCACAGTGGTCGATTCTGGAATCAGATAACCCTTTGTGCTGTCTTATTCCGATAGACCTTATACTATGGATAGAGGATAGTTGCACAGCTTTCGTTCATTGTCCTTTCTGAGACCAAAAGTATAGATTTGTTTAGGAAAGTTACTAATGGTACATCGCCTGCAATCTGCAATGGCTTTGATCCTTTGTAGTTTATAGAAGTCTCATTCCATTTCTTTCACGTTATTTTCTTTTATTTATTTCAGTGTTTCACCTAACTACAGATAAGACAATTTTAAAAAAACATTTCTTTTTTACTCAACTCGGCGTCCTTACATCCATTTTGTACCTTGTGACTATACAATATGTTCCAAGTTTTAATAACAATGAAGTCTACAACAGGTGTCTCATCGCCAGTCCCTGTCGTAGAGGCTAAAAACTGTTATACAACTGGCAATTTTTTTTAAGCAAAGGATATTTGCAATCCAGTCAATGCAATGAAAAAATATTGACATGAATAACCCTTTAACCAATTATCGGTGCCATCAGAACAATTTATTGACAATCTATTCCGAATGTACAAAAAAAGTACGACCGCAATAAAAAGCAATAAAAAAAGCGCGGGAACTCTTCAAGGGACGCATCTAAAAAAAAGGATGAGAGTATGTCGGCGTCGTTAGAATAGTCTAATCATATTAGACGAAAATACCCCTGGTTTGCGAAATAATTGTAAAGTCTGGTTTCATTGATGCAAGTTGTTCAAGGGGGTATTTTAAACATGGATGCATAGCATGGGTACACCAATTTTTGTGGGAAAACTTTTTATTCGACAACAAAGAATGAGAAAATGTGTTTTTTGGGTTTCAATCGAAAGTGTTGACTCTTCTTCATATAAAATATTTAGGTATTTATGAGACCTACAAAATGAAACCACACAAAAAAGATCCGTCTAATAGTAAAGAAGTTATGGCTGAAAAACGAGGCAAAATGCAGGTTTTGGCACTTGCTGCTAATGCGGCGATAATTTCACGCAGCTACTTGAAATTCTTGATATCCGTAGGCTTCATACTTCTAAGTAACCACAACAAAACTGGAGTCGATTGGTCAAGTAGTCTTTGAGAATTCCTAATTGTTTATCCCAAAACACCTCTCTTCCGGCCATCACTTCTAGTTTACTGAGCAATATTATAGGGTACGTTCAAAGGGCATTTTATAACAAAATACACGAGTTTACCTTGCCAACATAAATCGCAAGCCGGATAATTGTTGTTTTTATGCGAAAAACGAAGGGTTACCTTTTTTCTTCTAAACAAATTCAAACAGTTCGTATTTGTGAGTAATTGAGCAGATTCGCTACGATATTCGAAAAACATAGATTATTATACACATTTTTAAACAAAGTGGATGTGTCAATCACCATTTGTTGCGAAGAAAACAATTTTTTTTTCAAATTTTCTTCATACATATTTAGAGCTGAAATTCTTACACGGTCACAGATGAGCCCTAAAGTTTATCAAAATAAATATTTGATACCTAAACGCGCTGAATTGTTTATAAAGTTAGCACGCAAAATGAAGACACAATAATTATATTTCAAACTGTCTTAAGACTAGTTAGAAAGTAGCATGTGCTAAATGGCTGCATTATTGATCACTGGATGACTTTGTCAAATAAGTAGGTCACGTAATCCAGTTTCTTTACGAAGATATATAATTCCCTGGACCTTTTTTCTAAAAGCTTTAGTATAGTATACGTCTGTTTTCGAAATCTCGTATGATTAAAACAACTGAGAGTTCAAAATATTGGAAAATAAACTCGAGAAAACGAAAAAACAGTAGACAAATATCAACCAATTGCAGCGAACTGACGATCGTCAAAATTAGGAAAAACGCTCGGTATTAGTCCCTAATACATTATTTAAAGTTTCAGCATTGTATCGTGTATAGTTTTCAAGAGTATTCTAGTTGTTTATAATAGATTTGATATGCTTTCAAAGTTCGCTTGACATTTGTCAGCATCATGTGTAGTGGTATAACGATCCAGTAAACCAAGAGGCCTCGTAGCGTAATGGGAGAGAGCGGTGATTTCTGAACCGCAGGACGGAAGTTCAAATCCATAAAGCTCCTTTTTTTTGCTATCACTTTTTTTAAATTTGGAGAAGTAACTCTTAGAAAAAAAGGTCCAAGAATTATATTTCTTCGTGAAGAAACTGGATTACATGACCTACTTATGTGACAAATTCATGCAGTCATCAATAATGCAGCTATTTAGCACATGCTAACTAGTCTAACATAATTGTGTCTTCATTTTGCGTGATAACTTTATAAACAATTCATCGCATTTCAGTATGAAATATTTATTTTTATGAACTTTAGGGCCCGTCAGCTCTAAATATGTATACCCAAGAGTATGAAAAAATCTTGAAAAAAATTGTTTTCTTCGCAACAAAAGGTGATGGACGCATCCGCTTTGTTTTAAGATGTGTATAATGTACGTTTTTCGAATATCGTAGCGAATCTGTTCAATTACAAATAATACGAAATGTTTGAATTTGTTTAGAAGAAAAAACGTAACCCTTCGTTTTTCGCATCAAAACAATTATCTTTCGGAATGGGTTGTGATTTATATCGGCAAGGTAAACTCGTGTATTTTTCTATGAACGAACCATGTATATTGCTCAGTAAACTAGTAGTGATGGCCGCAAAACAGGTGTTTTGGGATAAACAATTAGAAATTCTTAAATATGTACTACTTGACCAATCGACTCCACAATTTTGTTGTGCTTATTTAGAAGTATGAAGCCTACGGATTTGAGGAATTTCAAGTAGCTGTGTGAAATTATCGTCGCATTAACAGCAAGTGCCCAAACCTGCATTTTGCCTCTGTTTTCGGCCATAACTTTTTTACTGTTAGTTGGATCTTTTTACGTGTGATCTCATTCTGTAGAACTCATAAATATCTAACGATCTTAAGAGTTTTTTGGTTTCTGCCAACACTTTCGATTGAATCCCAAAAAACACGTTTTCTCAGTCTTAGTTGTCGAATAAAAGTTTTCCCACAAAAATCGGTGTACCCATTTTATGCGTCCATGTTTTAAATACCCCCTTGAACAACTTGCATCAATAAAACCAGACTTTACAATTATTTCGATGAAATTTACTAATATGATTAGACTAGAAGTCAGAAGATCGCGAGTGCCGTTTCTACTCGCAACTTTGTATTCTTTGCTTTCCAGTAACCACCACAAACTTGAGAACTGTAGCGAAATGTGTATTTCCGAGTCATTCAAGGGGCGAGCCTTCAATTCCCTTTCTAGGGTCTTCAGTAAGCAAAAGAGGGGAAGTTTGGAGGTCCAAACATCGGAGCTGGGCGACACGGCGGCGGTGTTGCCACTCTCATTGCTGCTACGCCACATCGAATTGTTTGTTTTTAAACGTGACAACCTTGTCATACATTGAAAAACCTTAGTTATTTAACCAAAAACAGAAGTGTTATGAGCGCAAATTGGAAAATATATCAAACATATGTTTTAGTGGCAACCTTGATATATCACTAGTGCATATTTTAAAATTATTTTAATATATACAGAGTGTTCCATAACTTCGCGCCTTAGCAAACATATATTGTTCAAGTAGACCACCATATATTTTATTGCATATTTGAATAGCACTTCTAGAAACAAGTTTGATATCATATAACATGATTTCGATAATCAATTGTTTAGATATTTGGTCAAACGTCTGAAAAAATGCCCACCACTGACGGCTCCCAGCTCCGCCATTTTTGGAGATATTTAGATAAATCTTAGTTCACAAAAATTGTATTATAATCGATTTTACGCTGATCTGGAAAAAGTGCTGAAATTTCTTTCTATTTATAAAGGGTATCTCAAAACGCAAAATGTACATTTTTGATAAGGTTCAAGTCAAATCTTCTATCAAAACAATAGCTTTTATTAACACAACAAAAATGATCTTAGCCTAAGCCAATCAATCGTTAATAAATCCTTCGAATATATTACCTTGGTGCAAAGCACACAAGGCCAGACGCGTGTTTAAATTATCTTGCGGGTCTAAAAGGGTTTGTCTAGGTATCCTCTTGT